GTTTGTGCAGATTTTTTAAAACTCCTGGCTGGGTGTTAATATTTTCATCTATTATCAATTCAATGAGGATATAACTAAAAAAAATATCTTTTTTTATGTTGTTGTTATGTGCCATAGAGTCGTCGGTTACTCATAGCAACCCTATGTCTGCACAACAGCTCTCTGAAGCCTACCCTGCTCCAAGCCAGTCTCCAGGCTGACTCCAACATGCTCCATTTAGTGTGTGAATCCATCTCATCCAGGGTTCCCCTCTCCTGAGCTGCCTCTCCATCTGTTCAAGCAGGATGTCCCTCCCCAGGGACTGGTCCCTCCTGGCCACATGCCCAAAGTGTGTCAGACAGAGCTTTCAGAAATCTTTGATTGCGGGCACAGCTATGACTTCAGCTGCCTTCTTTGCCATAGCCAACATTGAGATCCCCAGGCTTGACTGGCACTTTGCTTTCTTGGACTTCTTGACCTGCACCCTGTGGATCAATGTGACCACCTCGGAGGTGGTGGATATCTTTTGGTTGCTGAGTGTGGTCTTCCACCTGAGCAACATGGTGTTAGGGCTCACCCTGCTGGCCTGGAGGAACAGCATCAGAGAGGTCTTCTCTGAGCTCACCTCCAGCCGATTTTCAGAGACTGTAAGTTGCACAAAAGATTTTTCATCTTTCTCTTTCAGAAAAGCTGGTGGATTTGAACTGCTTGTCTTTGGGTTAGCAGTGCTACTTCTTAAAATGGAACAGCAGAGCTGCCGATGACAGAATCACTGTTGTTGTTGTTGTATGCCATTGACTCAGAACTGACCCATACTTGACTCTTCATGGGATTTTCAGAGGCAGTAAATCCCACAGGAGGAGAGTGCCCATTCTTCTTCCCAGGAGCAGCTGGTGGATTTAAACCAACCACATGCCTTTGGGATTACAGCACAGCTTCTTTCACTAGGCTACCAGAGGTCCCTGATGACAGAATAAGAGGGTAAAATATTAATTGGGACATATATGCAAAGTACCTAACTTACTATTGAACATGTGGTTGTTCTAGTTGTTAGTTGCCATCTAGTCATTCTGATTCATGGTATCCTTGGTTGCAGAGTAGAACTTTGTTCTAAAGGATTTTCAATGGTTTTAAATTTTCAGAAGCCTCTTGGGGAGAGTTTGAACCTTCAGCCTTTTGTCTGGTCATCAAGAACGTAACCATTTTTGTCATCCAGGGAGCACCAAGTGAGCAGAATTTCTCAAACATTTTGAAACATTGATATTATTGATAACTGGAAATTTAAAACATATTTACGTTTTTAGTGAGCAGTTTAAAACATTGTGATTTAAAACTTACCTAAATGAGATGTCAGACTGTTCATATTTTACTAATTTAGGTTTGTCACTTGTTGTGTCACTCCTCTTCCTGCTCCAATAATACAGTGATGTTCAAGATTATTTCATCATTTGAGATTGTTTTTTCCCCCCACTTAGGAAAACAGCTATAAACTGCTGTATTTTTGTTCTTTTTCCCTGTATGTTTGTTCGTTTTCCTCTTATTTGTTCCCTGGTAGTGCTGATTGCCCTGTCTGTGACAACAGTTTGTTGATTTCATTTTCTCTATGGTTAACGATGCTACACACTATGAGGTAGTTATGGCTCTTAACTGTGGAGAGGGTCAGGGTGAGGCTTAGACAGCAAAATTTGTTATTCAGTAACTGTGTATCAAGTGCTTATATAGTATCCAGTCCTGTGATAAATGCTATGATTCAAAAACCAAGGAGAGTATAATCTACCTCAAGGAACATTTAGGCTGGTGGAGAAGATTGAAAAGCACTGTGAGAGTGGCTAGCAAGATGGTTCTACTGAATATTCAGGTGGTGAAGTGGATAGAAAAGCTTCCTGGAAGAGGTTGAGCTCTGGAATCAGGATGATCTTCACAAGTGGTGTGAGAGAGATGGCATCGAGGCTGACAGATGTGTTTCTGTGGGTAGTCAGTGTAGCTGCTGTGTGCCCCTGAGTCAGAACTGACCCATAGCTGACCCTCCGGTGGGTTTTCAGAGGCAGTTAATCACACACATAGGAAGAGGTTACCCATCTTTCTCCCGGGAAGTAACTGGTATATTCACATAATTTTGAGTTGCCAGCATGGTCAATAGATGATGGTAATGAAAGACAGCTGTGGGGTCTTAGTCAGTTCTGCAGGGAGCTCTGGTGGCCAAGATGGTAAGTAGCAGTGCTGTAGTCCCAGAGACACTCGCTTTGAATCCACCTCTATGGGAGAAGTATAGGCAGTCTCCTGCTGTGATTTACTGACGGAAAATCCAATGGCAAGTCAGCTATAAATCTGTTCTGATGCAACACAACACAATCAAAATACCGAGTGGAGGTCTCTAAAAGGTTGTTGGGATCATGGATATAGATGAGACAGAGGGAAGTGAACATTTAGTATTTGTTAAATGTACTGACCTAACTTTTTTACCATAAAATAAAAGTGGAATTCTGACGCCATAGTTCTTACGGACTTGCTTCTTTGCAGAAGAAAGACGGGTAATCTCCTCTAGTATGATTTACAACCTCTGAAAACTCACTGGAGGGTCAGTTATGGGTCAATTCCAAATCGACAGCACTTAACAACAGCATTACCCTTGATGGTCAGAAGCATTTTCCCTCATTCTGTCTAAGTGTTCCAGGAGACACAAAGGGTATATTCCTGTATCTGTAAGGATTTCTTTTTTTCTAACAAGCAGACTTGTATCTTCTTTCCCCCTTTTACTTTTTAAGTTAAAAGCACCTGAAAATACTTCTGTAGACATTTGTTCTGTGACAGGAAAAACCATGAAGAAGCTAAGACAGTATTTCTAACAGTGAAAAGTATCTCTGAAAAGTTACTTTGATACTTGTTCCTAGCTCTGTGACATAGGAGGGCTGACAGCATTTGCTTGCCTACTGTCTTGGGTTTTAAGGGGAGATAATACTAGCTCTGGTAGAAGATTCTTCCAAATCCATTAGCTCTGAAAGAATTCATGGGCAACACCTAGAATTTCAAGTAGAGCTCCTGTTTTTTTCTTCTCTGGTCCTATGGTGTCAGTATGTTCACATATGTTTAGTTCTTGATGTGTAGAAAAGTGCCATAAAAATAAAAATAGGTGGATTTTTCTATTTTAAAGTATAGTCTGCATGGAAAGTACAAAATAACACTGTCGAGAAGCTGCAGTCATTTTAGCCTGTTAACAAGAACTGCTGTTTGGTTTGTATTTTAGGTTCACAGTATCCACCCAAATCGTTTCAGAGGACCACTTTGACTTCAAGAAAAAGATTCCAAGTAGCATCTTGACAGAAGGTCACCGGCATGCTGAATCACACCATAGATTGGTACATTCAAAGTGGCACACCATGCATCACTTGGAAGATAAGAGGACAAGTTCATAACTGTTAATCTGTTTGTCTGACAACCTGAGATTTTAACCTAATCCAACTGAGAGAAATGTAAGCAAATACACAAGTTCATTTTGAACTCCAGATTGCAGTACTATGTATGATAGAACATCATGTGTCTGGACACCTCCTGAGGTTCTTCTGACTTTTTTTCAGAGGATGCTGACAGATGTTTACAATCCATCATTTCGCCAGTCATAAACATACACAACTACTATGCGTACATATCCACACACTTAACAATGTGTTAAGGATCTATTATTGAAAAAATATTTCATTTTTTTTGTAATTTGCTGTCTCAGTATATTTTTGCATCTCTTTCTGTTAATAATGTCATAAAAATCTTTGACCTTAGTTGATATTATTTCCTTATTTAAAACCTAGCACTGATCTTTGATATTCCAATTTTAATAATAAATAAAATTTTCTGAATCATTAGTGCTGATTTAAATATACTTTTTAAAAAAATGCTTTAGTCATATACCTTATTAAGAAATCCCAGTGACAATTCTTAGTTGATTTTGGCTTGACTGGTTTTCATTTCATTGTCCCTGAACGGATGTTGAAACATCATCACACATACATAGAGCATATTGTTAGAAGGGTCTAATTCTTGGAGGAAGATACCATACTGGGAAAAGTGGAGGGACAGAGGAAGAGAAAAAGACATGATGGACTGACAAAATGACTGTAACAGTGAGCTTGAGTATATTAGAGATACTGAGGATGGTATAGAATGAGGCTAGGTTTCAGCATGTTGTTCATAGGGTCTCTATGAATTTTATTCAACTTGACACAACCAAACAAGTTTTTATTTTCATAGTCTGTCAGTCTATTTAAAATCATCTCAAATTTATTGCCATTTAAAGTTGAATATAAATATTAAAAGTAAAATATCTTTACATATGTTTGCACACTTCTTGTGTACCGTTGAGTTGAAACCAACCCATAGCTGACTCCAGTGGGTTTTCAGAGACAGTTAATCATATGGGAGTAGATTGCCCACCCTTCTCCCATGGAGCAGCTGGTGGCCTCACACCATGTCCCTTCAAGATTGCAGTGCAACTTCTTGCCACTAGGCCACCAGCACTCCCTTGCACACAAAATACAGTGAATATTCTCACCTATTAGAGCGGAACACCTCTCAACCTTCTGGTTTCTTCAGATTCACCTTTGCTTGAAAATTCATCCTCTGCAGTAAAGCTGTTGCTAATCCCTCAATCTAAACTAGCAGCTCATTTCTTTCTTCATCTTTTTGCTCTGCTTTCTTAATTTTGTTTTTCATTGCCTGTGCATTAATTGACATTAATTAATTAGCAATTAATTAATTAATTAATTGACATTAATGTAGAAAATGAGGTAGATGTGGAAGAAAAATTATCAATCAGAGGCTAGGTTATAGGTAATTTTCCTTTTATCTCCCCTTGTTTTCTGCTTAATAGTTGGACTCCTTAGATTCATGTTGACATTCTCAGATCAAGTCAGCATAATTTCATCTTTTATGCCAGACAAAATATATTTTATCAATCTAATTTTTATTAATACAAAAATGAACATATATGCATGTAACCATGCAAATGTATAAGAGGTCATGTTGAGGCTTCCTCCTAGTTGAAAGAAAAGTGATTGTTGACTATTTGCAGATACTTAGAAATTAAAACATGTTGAGAGTAGAATTTATATATTCTTCATCACAGAAGTTTGGAACAAAAATTACCCTATAGTGTTATCTCTGACTGATAATTTCACCTTTAGACTCTCCATTTTCTGTACTAACGGGACATTTTAGGGAACATCAGTGAGGGCAAGCACTGTGTCTGTAACTCTTTTGTTTGGCTTCAGCCCCATGACACCAGGAAATATTTGTAGTGCTCCACTGCACAACCTTACAGACCAAAATATTTTTGAGAATGTTCTTAATTGTTCGTAAGCATCAGCAATGAAAGCTTTTAAAAGAAAAGTCTACCTAAATATAACACATTATCAAGTCTACACTTGGTGCTCCCAATTCAGGACATTGTCTTTTCAGTTACTTGCTATGGCATCTGAGACCTGGACAATGAATAAGGATGATAAAAGAACAATTGATGCCTTTGAACTGTGGTATTGGAGAATAGTGTTGGAGATCCCATGAACTGTGGAAAGAACAGATATGTCTTAGAGAAGGTTCAGCCATAGTGCTCCTTGGAAGCAAAGATGATGAAGCTTCCTCTCACATACTCTGAGCATGCTGCTAGGAGAGGTTATTCCTTAGAGAGGGACAACATTCCTGGAAAAGGGAGGGTCTACAAAAAAGAGGAAAATCTTCAACCAGGTGGATTGACATAGTAATTGTGGAAATGGACTTCAGTGTGTCAGATTGTAAGGATGGCACAGGATAAGACAGGGTTCAGATGTGTTGTTCTTCAGGTCTCTATGACTCGACAGCACCTAACAACAACCTTAATGTACAATTATAAGTCATGGGAGAATTCTTGCCATGTGAGCAGTGTGGAACCTTACTCCTCAGAGTCACTACTAAGGTACATTTTGATTCATATTTTTTCTAAATGTGCCCTGTCTATCCGTCCTGTACTTGCAGAACAGATAGATCCTTCTCTAATCAGAAGAGACTGCTTAAAAGGGACAATAATTGATATGTAAACTATTAATTAGAATATCAAAGGTAAATTACTTTTCCTTAAAGAATACATGATGCCCTTGTCTTCTTTGAGAGCTTTGCAAGTAAAATCTTATGAGATATATATATACACAAACATATGTATATATACACATGCATATACATATATGTACACACATATATACATGTATACATAGACACATACATATATATACACATGTACACACACACACACACACACACGTAATTTCACCTTGCCCAGATCCACAGTCAACACTCTTGGCACCAGTAGTCAGGAAATCAAAAAATGAGTTGTTTTGAGAAAATCTGCTGTCAGGGACATTTCCGGAGTGCTATAGAGTAACGATATCAGTCTAGAGACAAAGATCAAGCACCTGATCTAGGCCATGGTCTTCTCCATTGCTTCCTATGCATCTGAAAGCTGGACAGTGATTGACGATGACAGAAGAAAAATCAGTGCATTTGAGAAGTGGTGCAGGAGAAGAGCATTGAACCTAATATGAACTGTCAAGAGAACAAACAGGTCTGTCCTACAGAGGGTGAAACCAGGTTGATTCTTGGAGGCAAGGCTTTTGGAATTTCTTCTCACACGCTTTGGGCATGTTGGCAAGAGGGATCAGTCCTGGAGAAGGACATAACACTTGTAAGGGTATAGGGTAACACAGGAGAGGAAGACTGTGAATGAGATGAATTGACACAATGTCTGTGGCAAAGAGTCAGGTGTCAGAGATGTTGGAAGTTGACTCAGGACAAAGCAAGATTCAAAGATGTTGTACATTGTTCATAGGGTCTCCATGAGTTGTAGTCACATATAATCTATCATCTATCTATCTATCTATCTATCTATCTATCTATCTATCTATCTATCTATCTATCTCTCTTATCTATCATCCACCTCCTTAGTAACATGCCTTCGGAAACTCTGAACTTTGAGAAATGTTGATAAATGTAGAGGGGCTTCAGGCCTTTTGTTCATAGGGTCGCTATGAGTTGTGTTTGACTAAAAAACAACATCTACATATTGTATATAACAACTGTATAACATACTATATGTTGTTGTTGTTATGTGCCATTAAGCCGTAGTCGACTCATAGCGACCCTATGAACAAAAGACCTGAACACTTGTATCATTTTCATAGTTTTTCCATGTTCACATAGTTTCCAGAGGCAAGCTCTTTCAGAAATGGATGCTATTCCTGCTTCTAACATTGTGTGTGTGTGTGTGTGTGTGTGTGTATAAAATGTAATATATTATAGACTTTATTATGTGTCATCGAGTTGGAGCTGACTCTCCAAAGGGATTTCAGAAGTAGTAAATAGGACAGGAAGAGATTTCCTATCTTTCTTCCATGGAACTGCTGGTGGATTCAAAAGACATTTCTTTGGGTTGGCAGTGCACCTGCTTACCACTAGGCTACCAGAGCTCCCTTTTAACTATATATAATATTGGGGTGGTGGTGTGTGTGATACAGACAATGTGTGTTTGTATATGGTCGTAAGAAGCTGTGTTGTAATCCAAAGGCACTAGGTCAAATCGAACAACTGCTCCATGGGAGAAACATGGGCAATTTCCTTCTGTGTAACTACTGCCTCTGAAAACCCACTAGAGGTTCAGCTGTGGATTGATTCTGACTTGAAGGCACACAATAATATATACAAATTGTATTTTTTTAAATTTTACTTTACTGGGCAGGGACCACTGAGTGAGAGCTGAGTGAGAACTGCTGGGTGGGAAACAGACAGCTGGAATTTGAGTAGGGACCTCAATTGTGAGCACACCTGGACAGCTGAAGTTTGAGTGAGGCCCCCCAAGTAGTTGACTTGCCCTTGTGGCAACAGTAACTCCCATGCCTGCCCCACCCCCATTTGGCTTCACATCTGTGCCTACACATCCAGTCTATCATTTTTGCCTTTAATCCAGAGCACCTGATCTGACTTATCTAAAAGAGACTGATCTCACAGTTTCTGAACTGACCTTTCCCTTGAGTCAGAAGTTCAGAGAAAAACACAAGTGGGGTAGCTGCCCTACTGATTTCTAGAGCATTGTCTTCAGATCAAGATCATATCAATGTCTTGAAGAAAGCAACCTATCCTACACACTACAGAAGCCCAAAGTGAGAAGTCACCCCCCTCAAAGGGTGACACAGTACCAATGAATTTCCTAAAGCCAGAAAGTCTGATAGAACGTTCTGACACAGAATTTAAAAGAACAATGATTGAATATTTTCAATGGATGAAAGACAGACTTGAAGAATTTC